TATATATAAAAACTCTTCCTCACCCACAGTGGGAGGTCTCCCTTTTGTCCTCCAAGCTCGGGTCCTCTACCAGAGGCCTGCCAGGATCTTTGCTGTTCCTAGAACTGCCCCTTTCTGGACCAAGATGTCTGATGTATTTCCAGGGATCTGCTGTAACCTCTCCTCAAGTTTCTGGGGCACTTCCCAAGTTCCCCCATGACCATGACCGTCATTTTTCCTGATGTTGCAGTGACTTGGTGTTGCTATTTCAACCACAACGGCTTTCCTCTGCTTTTTGTCCACCACCACAATGGTCGTTCCCCATTACCATTCGGTCCGTCTGTATCTGGAAGTCCCACAGGATCTTGGCTCAGTCATTCTCTACCATCTTTGCAGGTGTTTCCCACATTGACCTTGGGGTTTCCAGCCCATACTCTGCACAGAGGTTCCTGTATACTATTCCAGCCGCTTGGTTATGGCACTCCATGTAAGCTTTCCCTGCCAGCATCTTACACCCTGCTGTTATGTGCTGCATCGTCTCAGGGGCCTCTTTGCACAGTCTGCACCTGGGTTGTTGCTTGGTGTGATAGATCAAGGCCTCTGTTGCTCTGGTGCGGTAGATCAAGGCCTCTGTTGCTCTGGTGCTTAGGTGCCTGCTCCTGTATATATATATATATATATATATATATATATATATATATATATATATATATATATATATATATATATATATATATATATATAATATTTACAATCAGATTTATGAAATATGATTTTCAATTCCCCATTTAGAAATAGGATTAGAGAATACATTTTCAAATCACAGTATTTAATGATAAATTAATAAAGAAGATTCAGAATTCCTCCATTAATAATATTATTTAAAGTGGGAGATCACGAAGCACATTTCAAATTGTATTTCTAATTGCATGGTTAAAGCATTAAATGCTCAGTGATGCAGTGGGTCGCACTGCTGCCTTACACAAAAGAAGGTTACATTTTCGATTCCAGGCCCGGGGTCTTTCTGCATGGAGTTTGCATGTTCTCCCTGTGTATGTGTGGGTTCTCTCCGGGTACTCCGACCGGAGAGACTGTTATCCTTAGGTGTGAATGGCTGTTTGGTTCTGTGTTGCCCTGTCATGGACTGGCATCCTGTCCAGAGTGTACCCTGCCTCTTGCCTGTAGACAGCTTGGAGATAGGGGTGTACCAGCACTTCTCACTTCTGGTGCTTGGGATAAGTATGACGGAATGGATGGATTGAAATGGCTGCTCCATGATCCATTTTTTTGTTGTTGTTGTTTAAATCAATAAAAGTAACAAATTGAGTTTAGATTCCTTTTAAATCTTAAATAATATTAAAAAAACTAACAAACAAAAAAAATACCTTAAGTCAATAAAGTCATGTTAACTTGAGGCAGTGGCACTGTGTACCTTTTTTATGTATACAATAAATTGACTAATGCTAAACTGTTTTAGGTTTTATTTTATGGAAGCAAATCGTTACCATATTTAAAATGAAAAAGCATTTTCAGAAATGCTTTTTCATTTTAAGAATGTGGCTGCATTGTTTGACTCATAAATGAAATTAGTAATCAATAATCCTGTTTGCATTTTTATTTTCTTCTTCAACACTGCTCATCCTTTTATTTAATTAAAATTAAAAAGAAAAAGACATTTTAGATTTATTTTTCAAAGTGTACCCCAGCAAATACATACCAAAATTCAATTTGAAATGTAAAATTTGAAAATGAAAAAGGCATTTCCAGAGATGCTTTTTCATTTTAAGAATGTTGCTTTATTTGACTCATAAATGAAATTAGTAATCAATCATCCGATTTGCATTTGCATTTTCTTCTTTAAGACTGCACATTTTATACCATAATCAAAGAGAAAACATTGCTTTTTCGTTTTCATGGTCTGCCTGCAAAGTACTGTCCATAACTCAAAAACGAAAAAGCATTCTGAGCGGTGGGTGCAGCAGAGTGACATCAGCAGCCGCTCTTCATAAGGTCTTTGCTTACCGGGCTACCCATCTTCTTAATTCGTATTTGCTGGGGTACATTTTGAAAAATATATCTCAAATGTCTTTTTATTTTATTTTTTTTTTTACTTTAATTAAGTAAAAGGAAGAGCAGTGTTGAAGAAGAAAATGAAAATGCAAATAGGATTATTGATTGCTAATTTCATTTATGAGTCAAACAATGCAGCCACATTTATAAAATGAAAAAGCATTTCTGAAAATGCTTTTTCATTTTAAATATGTAAAGATTTGCTTCCATATTATTTCATGGTCGAATTTTAAATATTTTATTGATTTTTAGTTTTTGCTGCGAAATCCTTTCTTTTATTTTGAAATCCCCCGGCGGAAGTAGTAATGGTAGGCTTGTCCTGCTTGCCTAGAAGCTTCCCGGAGCGCGCGCGGTAGCTGTCAGATAGCGGAGCAGCCTGTCAGAGAAACACCCTCACTGCCAGCTTCGCCTTTCTCTATCATACCCCTCCGACTCTCGGCGCCTCTCTAAAGGCTTTCCCACCGCTCCAACGGCCGGCTAGCTGCTGGGCGGAGCCGCGTTGTTATTCTTTCCTTTTTTTTTTTATACACTATTTTTTTTTTTTTTTTTTGCCCGAACTAACATTTAATTCTTTCGGAGTTGATTCGGGAGTAAAGAAGCAAGCGAGAGAGAGAGAGGACAGGGGAGAGCCATGGCCACAACAACCTGTACGCGATTCACGGACGAATACCAGCTGTACGAGGAGCTGGGGAAGTGAGTATCCGTGGAGGAGGCTGCAGCAGGGCTGCTCTGCAGAGCAGAGCTGCAGGCCAGCAGCGGCTCTTTATCTATGTGCGCCTTTTTTCACTGTGCCAGCTCTAAAAAACACGCTGCTCCGGCTCACAGAGTGGGATCCTCAATCTGTTACACCAGAAACAAGCACTAAAACCACTGATGATATTTCTGCTATGGGTTTATTTCACCCTGAAGTAACGTTTTGTGGTTAAAGCATTTCCACATTAGATGAGCAGAAACTGCGGTTTGCTGTAAATGTTTTTTTTTTCCAACGCAGAGCAGATATCTGTATAAATATGCAGAAAGAGATTTGCTACAGTTGCTCTGTCCTCTGTAATTTCTAGGATGCATTTAATGTTTAAACAATAATCAAAATTTGATACATTCTCACACATATTTACATTTGCCTCTTGAATTTTGCAATGCATTTTGGGAGTTTTGTTTCAATGTTTTTGCAAGTTTGCAGCTCTCATTAAGGTCTGCTTAAAAGGATAGATTGTTCAGTCATTGTATTTTTAAATTTTTGCTGAATTTTATTAAGAGTTAAGCAAGAAAGCATGCATGTGGACAACTTGCACATCAAAACAGAATATTCAACAAAAAAACACTTGAGATACTGAAACTTAGATGTATTGCAAATGTTTCCCCCCTAAAACTAAATTACTTGATGTTCTCTGTATGGAATCTGAATTAATAATTTATTATTTTTTTTTTATCTTGACCAATGCTGTTGTTTTGGCTATGTATGTAAAGTTATATTTTTATTGTTTTCTTTTTAATCATGAGCAATTATCTCCTCAAACCGTATTCTGATAAAAGCTTTTAAACGTCACTTTGACTCTCCAGACATTCCTCTGCTTTGTATCAGTCCGTCTTCATATGGTTGTGTCTGTCAGAGGACCTGTTTCACTTTTTGCATCTAGTTTAAAGACGTAGCAGTTTAAGAAACAGTCGGTGGTTTCCAGGGAAAAAATATCAAGTTTTCTCCCAGAAAGTAGAGGAATAGTCAATATTACGCAGCTTGCTCTCAGTTTTTCTAGTGGTCCCTTTGCATTAGTATTGAGATTCCTTACATGAAAAAACTCCTCTGAATTAGAAATGTTATTTTCAGATACTAAGTTGTAGAACAGCTGAACTGTCGCGGTTGCATCTTTTATTTCTTTAAGCAGGTCAGCGAAATTCTCTGTAAAATACAGGAACGACAGAAGATTAAAGCCCCATCAGAAAACAGATTTATTTCTTTATATCCAGGCATGAAGGTTTAACGACACCTCTAATTCTACGTTTACTGATTGATTTCCATCAGGCTGTTCTTTCGTTGAGGGACTCAGCAATGATCGACTTTCTTTGTGTTTTTTTTTTTTTGTCTCCATCATCTTCATCACTTCATTCAGATCCACAGAGGGTCCTGGTGTTTTAAAGCTTCTTACATTCCCAAATAATGGAGGTCACAGTGGGATGTTTTAGGATGTTAAAGGCTACTGACTTCTTTTTTCTTTTTTTTCCCAGATCCTTTGCTTTGATATCTTCCTATTATTGGCTCTTTTGAGTAGATTTTTAAAGCAAACCAAACCTTTAATAAAATGGGTCAGAGAGCAGGTAAAAATTATGGAAGATGTAAAGTAGTGTGAACACCAGCACTGCAAACCTCTAATGTTTAAGACATTCTGAGTTCTTATTCTGGAATTTTCCATAAATTAAACAATGGGTTTTGCAATTTAAACTTGAATTTGCCACTAAAATGTAAGACAGTCCCAGGGAGAGCGTAACTTTGGGCTTTCTTTGGATTTTAGTGTTTTTCTGCAGGTTTGTGTTGTATTTGCTTCACAGGTTAACGCTTGTATTAATTATCTGTAATATTTCAAGTTGTTAAGTTGTTGGTTTAAGACATGAAAAACCTTTTAAAGGCAAAGGATAACTTGCCTCATCTTAAAGTGTTTGCTCAGAGCGTTTATCCAGCTTCTGTGGAGTGGCGTCATGACGTCGACTCTAAATGTACATGAGCAGAGCGTTTTCGCGTGTCAGGCCCCTGAGGAGGTTCTTAAAATAAAGGGAACTAAACAGGAGAAAAAGGATGTTTAGCATTTTTTCCTGACGGGGCAGCTGCCTGCATTAAATAATTACATCCATGATCTCCATTTGGATGCTCAAGATGTTCAGGGTGATTAACATGCGACTGCTTATGGAAAAGCAGGTTTGTTGATATTGAAAGATTTGTAGGTAATTAAAGGTTAATAGATTAGAGAAAAGTGTTAGACTTTAAGAATCAGTATAATAAAAAAGGAAACAGGTCTGATGACGGTCACTGAATTAGTTTTAGCTGCATGTCAGATTGAAAGGTCTTTAGTTTGCATTTAGATATTTCAACATTGTTCTTAAAATCAGGGGTGCAGCCCGATATGAAGATAGCATATTGTTGGTAAAAGTAATGGTAAAAGTTGCGGTATCGCTCTGACTAAGCAGTTTTATGTCTTATTACTTTGGATTCAATGCAACAGTAGATAGAAAACATGGTAAGTTGATTCCTTGTAAAACATTGACTCCCACCCTGCAGGATTGAACAAATCTAAGTTTTATAGACTTTGAAATGGAGTCGATCTGTTTGTTCAAGTTGCCAAAAGCATTAGAATAGACTTTTAGACCAACTTGAAGGATTTATTGAGATATTTGTTCATATAGATAAAAATATGGCAAGGTAACCTCATGTTCCATTCAGATCAATTAAATATGATAAAAAACTTTGAAAAAAATGTAGAATTGTTAATCTAGAAAAGCATTAATTTACCATTGATTTAACCATCAAACACTTATTAAGAATAAAAATGCCATCTGCAGTAGAGTCCTGCCCAAGAAAGCAGCATACAGTAACTGTTCTAGACACAATGCTGAACATTAAACATCTAAAACAGGATTTATGTATCAGGTCCATTAAATTATAAAGAAATGATAAGTGTGCAGAGAAACAAGCTCTCGGAGAATCGACATTTTGCAACTCATCCCTGGCAGATGGAGCAGATTATTGTCCATCATTCCCCTGTTCAGCTCAGAACATCCGCACAGTAAGAAGGGAGATTCAGCATTTAAAAAATAACATCTTTTAAAACAAATAAGCAACTTAATATACTTACATTGAATATCATTATTAAAACAAAGGAATTCAAGCTTAAAACATTTACAGAATTGCACATCTGCATTTTAAAAAAGGTTTATGAATAGGTTTGTAATAAGGACTTAATGCTGTAGGCAAGCTTATAAATGTTGGGTTAAACTTTTTTAATAGAAGTTCAGAAATAATTAGTTTTTTGTAGCTTATATACTTAAAATGCTTTATGCTTTTAGTTCTTGTTTCAGCTCTTCTACTTTTTGCAGGCTTCAAGAGGTTGAAATTTATTTACTATAAAGCGATTTTAGAAACAGATGACAAACACTAAAATACTAATATAATTCAAAGGTGAAACACAATAAGAATCTAAGTAACACATATTGAGGATAAAATATTCTGACATTGTCTCAAATGAGATTTATAAACAGCAGTGCTTCAGTAACTGGTTTTCATAGTGTAGGTGCTACAGGTGCAGACCTCACAGTAGTCTGTACAAGCCCAGGCTCTGGGACTAGTAAAAGCCAGCAATTATGAGAAATCACTGGGACACATAAAGTCAGAGGGGAACAGCAGCTGGTCCGTGGAGTGTTTCATAAGTCAATAGTGAAATCTGAAATTCAACCCTAAATTGAATAGGGAGCCAGCAAGAGGTGGGCTGCTGCATTCTGGACAAACTACAGCTTTAAAAGCCAATGTCACGGCGGGGTGGAGGTTTGAAAGGATCCAAATGCAGACACTGAAGCTGAAGTGGTTTCATGAAGACTAAATAACAAAAAAAGGTAACGGAAATAAAAAGCCAAAAACATAAAAAAAAAATACACAAAAACTGAGAACCAGGATTAGGGTTGTCACTATACTAAACTTTTCAACTCAATACCGATACTAAGGAAAATATTCAATACTCGATACCATTTTCGATACCAGGATAAAAAAAAAAGACTCCAAAATTCTACAGAAATATTTTCATTAATAAATAAAATAAAATAAACAATAAGAACAATATTTTGAGGTTGTATGCTGTGCACAACATTAAGCAAGCTTCATAAAAAACTTATAAAATAAAGTTATAAAATTAAAATTAAGTGTTCCTTCCTTGGCTATGCTTTGCACACATAACAATGACACTAGCCAAACCAGTTAAGAAACAAAAATAATTCTCAGCAGCTGCACCTGTTACAAAAAAAAAAGTCTGAAACTGAAAAGTGCACAGAATTATTCAATCACAAAGTGTTCAGAAAGTGCATTTTCCTCTATTCTGCACTTTAGATGAATGACTGCTTAGGTCAATACTTTTAAAAACGATTATTGTATCCGGATACAACGTTTCAGTATCTATACTTTTTTGAGTATCGATACTTTTGACAACCCTAACCAGGATTACTCACAACAAGGGGCAAAGAAATGACGACAAACCAGCAACATTGACTGAGCAGGAGGTGCACTTGGTACATAACCAAGTGGGTCTCTCAGGTCTTTAGTGCATCTAGAAGAGTCTTACCCAGAAGTATTCTACAATGAGCACTGTGATAATAAAACTTTTGCTCAGGTGTTGCTAGATTCCTGTATTGTCTGTATGAGGAGAAATTTCCTGAAATGCATTCCTTTAGGGATCATGTAAGTAGAAAATAAAATGGACCAAGAGCAGAACCTTGGGGAACTCCACAATAGATTGGCCGATGGAGCAACGGCATCACTAGTAGTCACATAACCTCCTGTCAGAAGGATAATCCTCAAACCACACCAGTTTTTCCTGTATTGTCTGTATACTTTAAATGAGAGGTAGGGATAGCAGGGTCAGCTGTAATAAAAGGAATTTAACTCTAAAAGAAAAAGAGTGTCTCCTGCATCAGATGCTAATAAAATACCTTTTACATTGAGTAACCCAATTATATCTACAGATATTCCTAGGACCCAACACAATAAAGGTCCTTCTGGATGAACTGTGTTAACGATAAAGTAAATATGATGTTTTCAATCAGCTTGAACATCTAACTTTGATGAAAAGTGAATTAGATTGTAATGGCTGTAGATTAACTTTGTATTTGTTGGCATTTTGTAAGAATCCAAGTTGGTCTTCGCTGCTTCCACCCAGCAAAAATCCAAACTAACGAAGCTTCAAAGCTTAGATCAGGTAGCTGTGTCCCAGATAGTTGGTATGTCACTTTTTTTTTGTTGCTGGATAAGTTTCAGTAACCTGTTGTCTTCCAGGATCAAGGCGCACACAACAGCCGGGGAAAAGACTAACATGGCCTCCCCACAGAGCTGGTTCCTGTCCCAGCAGTAATAACTCTGGTTGTTGGGAATGTCTTGGCTGCCTAACTCTTGTCTGTTTAAGCTCTGGTTCATATTCCTAAGTTTCGGCTCTTAAATAGAAAGGAAAAGGAGAACATTTCCAGTGATTTATGACCTATTAGTCGGACTTTGATCTTGTGCAAGTGACACGAATCCTACCCTGCAAGGCGTCTTTTATAGCTGATTAGAATAAATCATCCAGTCGTATCCCTTCCAGAAGAAGGAGTTCAGGTGTAAGCGGCTTTGACTGCAGATGATAATGCTATATGCGCCTCTGTGTACCTGATAATGAGCGTCAGAGGAGATATGATTAGGCGCTCTCACTTTTGGCTGCTGACTCTTTGTGGGACTTATGGCATTTAAGCATCGTGACTTTGCTTGTCGTTTCAGCTTATCTGTTACGATATTATCATCCTTTCCTGACTACAAGCAGCTCGTCTTTTACACCAATTGGTACAAACAGCCTTCCCTGACAGTTGTTAGAAAAGCATTCTCTTTGATCTTTTTTACGCGTTGGTGCTGCACTTTTTAACTTAAATCTCATTGTCATTAACAACAGTAGCAGGTTAGCTTTTAAAAGGGACAGCAACTGTTATTGTGTAATATCTCTGCTCTGCTAAGCTGATGGTTTTTTTTGATAAAAAGCGGATTGTTATCTTAGGCATTTGAAGCTTTGGTGTGCAGATTTACATGCTCTGCACCTTGTAATTAGAGATGCTCTGATATGGACTATTGCACCCTAATCACACAAAAAAATGTGCAGCAGATTCTGTGGTTGTGGATGTTGTTTTATATTTCAAGAATATCTGTCTGTTTGCTTGATTTCTAGTTTTCCCGTTTGTAATAAATTATTTTTTACTTTTATTGTCTTTGAATGCGCCATCTAAATAAAATTAAAATTGATAAGACATATATCCAAGCATTACATAATGCAAAAAGTAAGAAGGCTAAAAATGTTGGCATTTCCTGCTTTGATGCATTTATGGAGGGAGATTGTTATTCAGAAATTATCCTTTGGATCATAGATTGTAGCTAATTTAGGGGACAGTTTCCATCTTATTCGATCTTTCTTATGAAATTGGTCCGTCACTTTGTGTGATTCATCGCGACTTGGATTGTTTGGGACTGTAGGTAGACACCACTCACCTTAGAGTATGTTTTTGTTATTTTAGATACAAGTTTGGGTTCTTGGAGTTGGAAAAAATATCTTGTCATGAGCTTGTTTAATAGCATATTTACAGCAGATATAAAGCTGCTTTATCACGACAGGGAACCGACACTATCATTATATAGAAATTAATGTAATTAAAAATATAATTTTTCACGTTTCTAATGATTTCTGGTCAAATATTTATTTATTTTAATGAAAATTTCATTTGTTATTTTTGTTTTTGGGCTTTGTTTTTTTTGTTGTTGGTTTCTCTGCAATGGTTGGGACGTAGGGATCTGTGTTAGAAACTGACTGAATGCAGTTGTTGTGTGCTGCCTTGGAGTGCACTTGCTGTAATTATGGTAGTTCAGTAGTAGCTAATTTAATATAACTAGTATGTTTGCTTTTATTAGAGCAGTATTTGTGTTTGAGTAGCTCTGGCTGTAAGAGCAACAGACGTAATGGCTGCAGAATGGGATGAAACGTTACCTTTAATTGTCTTATATTTCTTTATTCAACAATCATTTCTGTTCTTTGTATTATTGGTTTACTCATCCTTTTTTTACTGCACTTCTAGAAAAAAAATACTTTTATTCAAAGTTTTTTGTTTGATTAAAAATATATATGCTTTTTCATTCACTCACCTTTTTGTTTCAGTCAGTGGATCCCATCTGTCGACTTTCCCTTTAATTGTTTAGGTTTTGTTTTACCAATCGGGGTTTCATGAGCAGCTGAGATTAGACTATATATTTTTAAGAGCTTTGCAAACTACAGTATGCAGGTGCTTTTGCCTTAGTTTTAGATTCTATAAAACACAAATAGTTAAAATTAGGTTTTAACAAACAGATATGCAGTCATTTTTTTCATGTTTGCATTATCATATCAGCAAAGCTCCGTGGTACGTTTTCATATAATGCTTTTTCTGGTGTTTACATTTTATTTCATTGCAGCACATTTAGGGTCAATCTTTCCCTAAGTCCAGTCCTTCCAAGCATCTCCTGGTTGTTTTTATTGCGAGCTCAAAGAATCAACAAACACCTCTTGACCTCTGTTGGGTTTTTTTTTTAACATCAAAAACAGACTTAGTCCTCTAAGTTTCCACCATCTGGTCTTACAGCTTTCACCTTTTGACCTTGTTGGTCTGGAAGCAAAACCCAGTGTCATAGTTCAACTTGTCACTGTCAACACCCGCTGGAAGTCAGACTGGACAGATTGGTCTAGGCCGACCGAGGCTGAGAAGTTATCTATGGACTGGAGGGTGTTTGTTGTTCACTTTCCTTCTCAGGCTCTAAATCGGCACTGCTCAGGTTAAGAACTTTAAAATCATATCCTATATGAGTAAATACATGATAAAATACTGTTATACTATTCAGTAGTGAAGCATGAGCTCCTCCATTTGTAGTCAGCAAAAATCTGCTCTTTGAACACCCCCCACCATCAAAAAAATTAGATTTCATGGTTTTAGCGTCACTTCTTTGTCTTCTCATGCAGTTCCAGCGTATAAGTGAATTCCTTTGATGCTGAAACAGTGTTTAAGAGCTTTATTGGTTTTCTTAGCTGCACATCTCCCCATCCACATGCAAGCACATTATTTAGAACATGCTGACTGGCTCTGAGGTTCCTCATGGGACCTTATTAAGAAGATAACTCTGGACTGCTTGGTCTTTCAATGCAGCTTTCCACTGTTACATTTGAGGAATTTTAAGCCAGATTTCCACTGAAATTAATCATCAGCTCTGACATGAGTCAGACCTGGACTCATTCAGTCAATTAAGGCTCTGAAGAAGTTGCTTGTTTGTATCATTTTGATTCACAGAAGAAAAGTCATGATGAGCACAAATATTATATGAGCTTATCTTCTAAATAGTTAATATGAATTCAATAACCATCCATCTTATAGAAATAAATCTGTTTTTGTTTTTTTTTATCTCCAGGGGTGCATTTTCAGTGGTGCGCAGATGTGTCAAGCTGTCAACAGGGCAGGAGTATGCTGCCAAAATAATCAATACCAAAAAGTTATCTGCAAGAGGTAAGAATTTCTTTCAGTGTTTATTTCAACATGTCGCCTGTGGATGTCCTCATATGGTCAGAGAACATGAGGGATTCTTGAAATAAGGCTTGTGTGCAACATGCTTCATGTGCACTAAAAATACACAACAGAACGTAGCCATTTCAATGGCCAATATCCCTTTATTGTAAGGATTTTTCAGATTTTTTAAATCTCATTGTCAAGATTTTTTCATAATCATACTCCTTTAATTGAAATGCATCATTCCATCATTGTTGTTCTAAATCTTATTTTTTAATTTATCAGCTTTTAGCTGTAACCCCAGTACCATGCAAGTATACAATAATAATGAAGGCCCCCTTTGCATTTCTGCCTACGCCCTCATATGACTATGCCCCGCCAGTAAGTTTAGGATTAAAAATAGTTGAGAAAGTCCAAATGATAAGATGGTCTGCAAAATAAAAAATAAAAAAAATCACCAAAAGCTTATGTGGAATCATAGCAAGTGGCGGATGCCTCAGATTTTATTTTTCTCTAGCTTGTTTCTACTGTGTTTTTTTTAAGGTTTGTTACAGTTTAGCCATTGCGCCCCTCCAACTCCAAATTACCACTAAACCCATATATCTACAGCAAGTGAGCATCTATTTAATGCTGAATTCTTTCTGTGTGACTGCTGACATAAGGGCTCCTCTACTGTTGTCTAAATAAGCAGTAGTTTCTTAAGGCTGGAATCAATTTTCAATTCGATTATGTTTAGTTATATAGCACCAATTCATAACACATGTCATCTCAAGGCAATTTACAGAGAATTCAAGCAGATCATACAGTCATATTGGTTCAAAGTTTTCTGTCTAAGGGAAACCTGCTGATTTCTTCTACTCATTGACTTGAGATCAGTCCCTCAGCCAAAGCGTACTTGTAGTGACAGTGGAGAGGAAAACTCCGTTTTAACAGGAAGGAACCTCCAGCAGAAAAAGGCTCAGTGTGAGCGGCCCTCTGCCGAGACCGACTGGGGTTCAAGAAGATAGAAGCAGACGCATAGAAAGAAGCAGAGATACAAAAGGCAATTGTCAATCAGCTCCACAGGCGGCTCAGTCCAGGAAACAAACAGCTTCCATGTCAGAGGATAAAAGAGAGCACATCCAGTTGGTCATAGTCAGAGAAACAGGACAACACTGAAAAACATGCCAAGCTCCAGCATCTATAAACAAAGGTGTTGATAGCAGCATAGCTGATATTCCTCTCCAGGATGGTGTCACAGCCAAACAGGAACACACTCCATGAAGCTGCTATGGTGAGAAAAAGCAGAGAGAGCATAAAGTTAGAGATTGAATTAACGAATACTGCAGAATGGGAAAATAGAGATGGAATGATGAAAAAATGTCCTCTAGCAGTCTTAGCCTATAGCAGCACAAATACAGAAAAATAGCTCAGGATAACCTAAGTATTATGGATGAGGTAGAAGAAAGGTAGAGCCACAGTGTGGTCAAATTAGAGGCAAAGATGATTTTACTTTAAGAGGCTTGTTACAAAAATGGGCCCAAATGCAACCCAACACACTGCTCATACTTTTGCACTATTTTTTTTTTTTATGAGCCGGTAACATAAGAGATCAAACTATTATGCACCAAAAGATTTTATCATTGCCATTTACGAAACCTAATTAATAAAATCATAAAATGTTTTACCATATATTAGAAGGATGGTGTTCACAATACTAGTTGTAAGGTACACTCCTAAAGGCCACCCTGCTCCGTCAGTAAAGTCCGAATTAGGCAGCACTATGATGAAGGCCAGTCCAGCTCTGCAATGGTCGCCGTGGTTCCTCACACCAACACTCGCTCGGTGTAAATCTCCTGCTGCCTCTACAGCTCGCAACCGGAGACCCAGAGCCGTGGCTGCGCCAGGTGGCAACCCACTGACACTACTTTGCTCTACACACACTCTGGGCTTGTGTGTGTAAAAATGTAGAGTGTGGTGGAAGAGGCATTTTAACAGGCATAGAATGTCTTCTCATATCTGCTTGTGTCTGTCAGTTAACCTTTTACTGTGGGTATTAATTTCCTTTGGAAACAATTGCTCAGCTGACATTAATCCATGCAGACAGATTTATGAAAGTACACACTGATAGCAATGATGATACACAGGAAGAGAGGTAAGGTTGTCAGGAATAACTGTTAAAATTCTAGAGACTCAAATACTCCATAATATAATTATAATCACCATAATGTGCGTGCAAACACTTGGAAAGATTGTAATGTTAATGAATAAGATGGAGAAGCTATAATGTAGTTTCTGAGGCACTGTTGAGTGTTTAAAGCAACAGAACAAAGTAAAAGCAAAGAGCTGATGCTTTTCAAGAAGATAATTTATCAAATGATAAATTATTACTTTTTTTAAAGTTCTTAAGAGGTTGCCGAAAAAAGAATGAGTCTTAAAAGGTTCTACTTTCTATTCATCTCCTAATGGCTTTAACAGTTTTATGGAGTTACTGTATGGTAGAAAAAGGATGAACGCTGTAGAAAAAAAACAACAAAAAAACAAATGCTAAGATCTATGAGTCATTTGGAAATTTTCTTTTATTGTCATCTGGTATCTTTATTATTAATGGCTTCAGTTTTCACAGCAGTGAACATTTTATGAGAGTTGGGTCTTTGGACGGCCTATTTCTGTGAGCTGGCACCTAACTGTTAAATGCACAGATTATTTCCGTATGGTTAAAAACTAAAAAATGTGACCTTTTTCTAGTCGGTAAACTTGTCATAAATAACTGCAACCATCTTATGCTAATGACTGTACTGTCTGTCGAAAATGCTTCTTAGAGAAAAAGACTTGTTTCAGGTATTTAGGGTATTTAAAGACCGGATTCTTAAAGAGCAACAGGAGCTTTTCTCTGCTCACATGTGATTTTTGAAAAATACGCCTCACAGTGGCGGTTTCAAGCAGACCAGGAAACGGGTTTGGGGCTAAGGGCTAGGTGTGGTCTTATATTGTAGATAAATGCTTCAACAACTAACAGAATGCCAAGCTAGTGATTTGATATCATGAAAATTGATAGAAAGAACCCAAAGCTAACTATTCCAACCCTAACTCACTACAGAGAGCTGCACCAATCGCTTGAGCCACAGATCTACTAACGCCAGTTTTCTTGACATTGCAATATCCTTGGATCCAGTGCTGTCTTTTTCAAAGTTTTCAAATTTCATACTCTTAGACACAAAAGGAGGACTGTAACAGAATGTCAATATAATGCCCTGACCTTGTCTAATTTTCCAGAAAAACAGCAAAAATACTTCAAATTGACGTTACACACATACATTGTGGAGATTATTTTAGTCCAGAGATCTGAATGGGTGGGTGAATGGACGGCAATGGCAATCAGCAAAAATCAGCTCTCTCTTTCGGGATAAAATTCCTTTCCGATCGGACCGAATGGTATTTGAATCTTCAGTCTGTCATGATCACATGAAGCGTTTTTGATCTGATCATGCATCCAATCTTATTATTGGTCTCCATGTAGACATAGCTACTGTGTGCAGTGTATAACATAGATGCACCATAGGTGTTTTTGGTCATGAGATAGCGATGCAGCAAAGGATTGTGGGTTTTTATCTGAAGCAGGGAAGGAATGTCAGCACTCTAGTAGGTTTTTCATGATGTTAAAAGGGTAGGGATGTGAAAAGTACGTAATATTGTTAAATATCAGTTATTGCTCATAACACAAAGATTATCGGATACTGACAATGAATTTTCACATTCCTAATTTATTACCCGATAAAAATTTCTGCTGTCCTCTTGGAAATCTCCCTTCTATAATCCTTTGGGCAGTTGATGCAGTATTTGGGGTAAACCTTAAAAGATGCATTACAGTGTTTTCTAATGATACTGCCACCTGTGGCCAAAGTGCAGAACTGCAGCAATCCTATGCTTGTTTTCGTAGCTCTCACTTGAACTTAACAATGCCTTTGTTTTTTTATTTTATTTTTTCACTTTACCTAGGGTTGCCATTGGTGTCTGAGTTGAGTTAGATGCCAGTCGCTTCTGAGTAAACAGAAAATCCATCTTGAATATGACGCTTTATTTGTTTGCCAGGTTAGAGCTATTTAACATGGATGTGCTTGACGTCACATCCGCCAAAGTACATTCAGTAAAACAGGCTACAGGCTTATAGATGCATCAGTGCTGAACTGCTCAGATGCCAGTCTGCTCATCAAACCATGTTTTAGTTGTAAAAGGTCAAATAAAAGCTATTGTAAAGATATTTACAGTAAAAACTTAGATAATGTCTCTTTTCAAATAATGATCACAACACATGAACTGTAGGCTATAACTCTGGTCACAGTCAAAGCAAAGTGTTTTAAAAAAGTACTTTATAGAAAGTTTACTTCTATAAAAACTAAACATTTCTCAAACTGTTGTCGTCTTAAACATTTTTTCTCAGTTTTAAGATGTTAGTAAAACTCTGTTTAACTCTTCCATACACACAGTGAGCCGTCTTCTCTGCTCTGGTGCTTCGTATTTAAGGTTCACTCACATAATTGTATATTCAAAGCTTTAAAAGTCACAGAAATCTAAAATCGTCCGTAAATGTCTGATTGGTGGTTTTCTTCTAACACAATGTGACATGGAAGGCTGGAACCAAAAATTCAGTGTGCTGTTAATTATAGTTTTTAGAGGAATCAGAACTGCCGGTCCAACCTTCACAAAAAATAAAAATAAAACCAGAAATTTGAAACAGACCATAAATCTTTGATTTGTGCATCTCCACTAACTGGGAGTATGCATCTCTCCTTAGCTGCTTGATGAAAGGCTGCAGCTGCTTGCAGATTTCTGAGGTGCGGCATAATCTCCCTCCTTTAAGATTTGATGATCCAAGTCGACCGAGTGGTGTCCGCGGCTTGCGCTGCGCTCCTTACTAATGGATGAGCCATGTTCTCTGAAACAGCAGCGCAATGTCTGAGCCGACAGAGCTGCTGCATACTACTTCTACTCCGGCTCCAATTATAGCTCCATGACCTATC